TAAGTCCCTCGATGACCCTTTCAACGTTGCCTCGGTAAAAATATGATCTTAGAGCCCTAGGGTAGTTACTAAAACTTCTTGTCCATTTGCCTTTATGACTATAAAAATTTCCCTTCGAATGTCCGTCAAACATCCAACGATAGGGCTACCTACTCACTAATAGTAGGATAACACTGTCTAAAGGATAGGAGGAAAAGAACAAACCTTTCGAGTATAAATAGATAGTTCCTAGATGCTTTGCTCAAAATAAATTTTTTCACATGCACAAAACACTTTCAAAAACATTTTCAAAAATGCTTTATCAACACTCTTGAGGACTGATACAAGAGTTATCATAAAGCAAACTGTCGCACTAAGGCATTTCAAAATACTTTTCAAAAATACACGAAAGCACAAGGTATTTCAAAAATGAGCTAAGCATCTAAGAGCCCGTAGAAAGGTCTTTTTATGTTCTTTTCACCCTTTCCTTGGTTGGATAAAAGAAAAGTCGGTGGCGACTCTTGCTTACTGCAACATTTGTGAATACAAAAGCAAAACCAATATAACAGTCGGTTCTCCCACCGTATTACAGAACTGGCGACTCTGCTGGGGAATTATAAAAAGTGGGGTTACCTTAGAGTCTAGTTCATTTTAAATTTCTTTACCTTGTATGTTTTGTCTGCTTTACTTTTGAGGGCTTGTTGGGGTTATTTGTTAAAGATCCTACACCTGGATCTGGGGCACCTTTTAGGTAAGTAGCAATAAATCTTGGGATAGTGTGGGTTTTACCGACATGGTTGAAATGATAACTATGTTGGTGTGACACATTTGTTGGTACCGGTAGCCCTTGAGTAGTCAAGGAGAATACGGGGCCACTGTCTGGTGTCACGAAGCACCAACTGACCTTAGAACCTTTAATTGAACAACTTGGCCATTAAGAAGTAGTGAGATAGCCGGCTCTAGTGCAGTACGAAGTTGGTTGATACTCAATACTACACTAATTGAGATCTGACTTTCGGGATATTTCGGTCGCCAATAAAGAGGCTTGCACTGAAATAATGCCCGGTGAAGAAATATCGGTGATATTGAGGTTCCCTAGAACCCAATTACTATTACTAGGACAGGTTAAGCCAACTAAACTTCAAGAGGGTACTTACCTACAAAGCCCATGCAACCCTGAACCTAAGGCTGCTTGTGTGACTTGTTTGCCTTCATTATCTAACAATTTGAACTCATTGCAGGGCTTTTGTTTGTATTCCTTACAGGACTTTATTTGTATACATTATCCAATAACTCGGATTTCCTGCAAGACATACTTGTCTACATCACCCGACATTTTTCTTTATGCATAGCATACACATCATATCACCATACCATAGCATTTCCTTAACCATTTCAAGGATCTCAAGGGCCTGTGATGCAGTTTATGATGAACCAGACGTCTAGTAAGGGGAAAGGGAATTTATTTTCCTCTAGCCAATGCCGTCAAAAGATCAAAACACGATAACTTGGGTTAGAGGCTATGACCCACTCAATATGGTGAGCTTGATTCTCGTAGAAGGACATTCAACAATATGAAGTTCTTCAATAAAAGCTGTAACTAACTCCTAACATCTTCTTGTGTTTACCCCGCGAGATCCTTGGAAACATTTACACATCATGCATTTCATTACATAACAGGTCTTCTAGTACAGGTCTATCATGTTCTCGTTGTTTATTTCAGCAAGGAAAATGTCTTTCAAACAGAACAATAGAGATCTCTAGACTTAAGAGGCTGAGTTCATGAAAATGTTCTTCAACCTATCCAAGGGGCAGGAAGAATTGAAAGCACTCCTCAACGGGAACTTGACCAAGAAACATCCTGACAACAATAAGGATGACCAATTGGAACAACTGCGAGATGAAATGGAAAGGATGGGAATCTAAATGAGTAATCAAATGGCTCTTATCCAATGTTTAGCTTGGGAACAAGAAGAGTTGAGGTTTCTCATCAGCAAGCTTCATCAAGACGGATGCAACCATATGAAGCAAATAGTCGAGACTGGGGATCAGGTTATTAATCATCCTCTGATGAGACAAGAAGTTGGCTGGGTGGAGAGTAGACCTTTCCAAATTGTTGTTATGTCATGAACCCAACCACCACCTCGCCAACAACGACAGGGTAATCAGTGTAAGCGGGATGCATTCACTAGGAAATATACCAAACTCAATATACCAATGTCACAAGTCTTGCAACACATGTTGAAGTTGAATTTGGTCACATTGAAGGATCCTCCTCGAAATCCTAATTATTCCGCTCCTACTTACCATCCCAATGAAAGGTGTACATATCACTCTGACAGCCCAGAGCATGATACTGATAATTGTTGGACATTGATATATAAAATTCAAGACATGATCGATGAAGGAGAACTTGAATTTGCACAAGATGGTCAACTGGAATTCTTCTGCCATTCTTTAAAGGCACACCATATGAAGTGACAAGCCAAGATAAAGAGGCTATTTTTTCATATAGAATTCTCAATTTGTAATTTCCTTTGATTGTTCGAACATTTGTTTCATGTCAAACTTTGTTATTTTATCAATGCATTGCATATGTTTGTCTTGAATCAATTCATCCGTATTCACTATATTCAAACTGTGTTTTTACTTCCTTTTGGTGATAGTTAACTCTCGATTAAAAGCTCTAAGCCTTTAGAGGGAGGATGACAAAAACGATACCACAATCTCTACAATATGCTTTTGAACAGACCCCACTGACGATGTACAGGCGTTGTTTCAAATCCTAAATAGTGGAGTTATAAGGAAGATAATCCCTAGTCAACCCCTTTTAGCCTAAGAAGTAGGAGTTTTTCTTTTCACACAAATTAAAACCCTTAATCATAACCTGGGACAGGGTAGTTTTCTCAGTTAATTCAGATATGCATTCAGTCGCAAGCTCTACCTTCATACACGACAAATAGTGTAGAAGATTCCCTCCAAAAGATGATGACGGTTCCACATAATCATCAAGAGAGGCAGTCATTATCTCTCAAAATAAAAGCTTGTTAAGTCAAAAACCTATGAAGGAGACTTAAGAAAAACTGGGGCATCCCACTCACTGTAATTGCAAAGGAAACAGTTCAGGCAAAAGATATGGATAACTAAATAAAAAAATAGGTCCTATAAATCCTCAACAAAAATGAAAAGGTTACCAAAATGACAGCCTTCTCAAACGAACGTTCAATTCCTAAACCATCACCAAGTATCAGAGCAAAGATCCTAAACTCAATTGGGATCTAAACGCACAATTAGCTGAGCATAGGATCGAAGAACATCACAAAGAATAGGTTGGGTACAAATAAAATTTGAGCCTTTATCCTTTGTTTCTTGAACCGTGAAGTAGGCCACGTTATAACCCTTAAAAGTACTAGCTGAAGCATGGGTTAATTTGAAAGCATACTGTTACAAATGGTATCCTGACTCTTGTAGGGTTCGATATAAATCCTGAGCTGATATGACACTCTTACAAAATTTATTTGTTTTACTAAAAAATGAATTTTCAAGCTTCATGACAGACATAAGCTTTGCATTCTTAAAATATCATTGTTTGCATATGACTATTTGTTCAAAAGCAGAGAAATTCGCACAATGGATATTCGATGAACAAAAATACTCTCAGCAGACAGGATCACCTTAGATGGAAAGACATTCAAGTGATAGGTATTGCACCCCAAAATTTTCCCTCCTGATTTCTTTTATTTGGCTTAGACCTTCACATTCATTCGCAAATGTTTCATTAGGTCACTAACATAGCATGCACTACATTAAATAAAGCGCTTGAGGTTCAAAGTTCAGTGGTTGTGCGATATTAGGGTTTCATAGTGGTTTAGGCGTTCGTGTCCAATAAAGGCTGATTTCTTATTCAGGCAGCGAACAGTGGAATTAAGGTTGTGACTTGGGTCGTTGAGAATTTCTTTCTTCATCAAGCCACAAGGCTATCAGGGTTTATTTTCCTATATGCGATCAAAGCCAGGTTTTCGGTAATTATGTTACAATCGGGTTTTTCGTCAAATATCATGAGAGTATAGTTTATTTTTATCAAGGGACTTTCTCATAAAGCCTTATGTTGTGCATCAGGAATTATCATCGTCAAGGGAATTTCTTAAGGATTTTAGCCTTACGTTTTCAAGTGGACATGTTTGTGACTTGAATTACAAAAGTTGAAGCACAATACAAGATGTGATGCGAGAGAGCATTAATTGAGTCAGACGAATATGAATAAAGGCTTTGATTTTGGGCTAATTTAATATGGAGAGGTTGTTTTCTTGACTGAGTTCATGCATGAATATTATTGATTAGATTGAATGTTGTGTCATATCTTGAGTTCAGGACTAGTTCATTGAATATGCAAGTTGGTTGGAATTTGTTCATTGAGTCATGAAGTGAAGTGTTTAGAGGATAATCAAATGGTATTAAAGAAATTTAAGCATTGGTTTGTTTTCAAGAATTTGATTCAAGCGAGTTTGGAGACCTTAGTCATAAGAATTTCTTGGAATGCAAAAGATAAGATACAAATGGAAAGACATAGTCATTCATTATAATTCCATTCAAGTGATTATTTTGGTTCAAGTTTTCACTTTCAGTATCATTCAAATACCGTTCGAAATCAATCCAAATACACTCCTAACCTTCATTTACGTCATTCAAATTCAACATCTCAATATTCATCATTCATAAAAATTCAAAGTTCAATTCACCCAAACGTTATCATGCTGCGTTCGAACATATCATTGCCTAACTGATTTCACTCAAGTATCAGACCAATTCACACAAGGTTCATCAATGATATTCAAACCATGTTCATTCCATAAGGATAATTACAACTACATATTTCCATGTTACATGACCTTTAAATCAAAAATAATATGAAAGAACCATTCCTAAACCTTAACACTTATCCTAAACCTAGTGATTCCACCTTCAACCTTTATCTAATCTTCATGTTCCATTCTTTATGCAAAGATCCTATGTTCCAACCTTCACCTAACTACAATATTCAACCATTCTTTCTCTTTCACCTTCATCAACCCCATGGCCAAAGCTTTGGTTTCATCTTCACTAGTCTTCGTGTCTAAACTCCTTGCTTCTTCAACCATCTTGCATTCAAATATTATACTATGCCTTCACATTTTGACCTTCACAAAACAAACAATACAAAACCATATAAGGTTTTCCATTCACAAAAATAAAAATCATGCTACGGGGACTGCATCCAAACATAACCAAAACACATCCCAAACTCATATTTCATCAAGACATTGCATTGACCACATCAGACACAAGACCATTCAAATCTTACAAATTATAAAAAAAACATATCAAAACCAGAACAACACATAGCCTTTATCCTAAGTTTGATTACTAACAACCAAAACAAATTAACTGCCCCACACTTATTATAAGAGAAAGAGTTAGCACTTCACATATCCATCAACTAACCCAGTCAGACCAGTTGCAACTTAACAGAAAAATAATTGGATATTTAATCAATTTAGAACATCAATACCAGTCCCCCACAATTAACCAACCATGAGAATCCAAAACAGGTTCGATCTAAAAACAATAGTAGTTTCGGGTAGTCCAAGGCAAGACTGGATCAACTATTAAATCACAACAATTAGTGTCAAAACTACTTAACAGAAAATCATAACAGGAAAAGTGACGAGCGAAATCCATGAGATATTGAGATGGTGGAACAATCGGGAGGAGGCGAACGGAGATGCCAAAGAAGAACGACAAAAAGCGAATCACAGAGGTGTTGTGTTGAGTTGATCGGGTTTAGATGGAAGGGGTATCGCCACTGTTGATGAGAAATCGAGGAAGAAGCCATCTTTGTGAATTTCCAACGATACACAAACCCTATTTACTTCGTCAAAACGACATTGTATTGATACTATCCCTTATTTTTATTATTTCCTTTCTTCTTTTTATTGTTAATTGATGATTGGTGATGAATATAATAAAAATAACTTACTGAAGTATTTGGGTTGGATGCATGATACTGCGCCGAATTACACACTCTCTTTTAGCTTGTTACTGTTTTGATGATATCAATTTCCTTGGACAAAAACAACAATGCTGGTGAATTATTGCTTGGGCTTGGTGCCCATCTAGCTTTCTTTCATACACACCTAAATCCTGGTCTCAAACCCCCCTGATTTCTTTAGTTTTCATCTTTATTTTTTATTTTGGGCAATTAATTTTGATATCTCTCTTCATGATTTTCGGCTGGAATTTTATATGGATATTAGTATGTTGATTCCTGACTTGATGATTTTTTTTGTTGGTTTAGGAATTAATTGAATTAAGCTTGGTGCATGATTAGAATTAGGATTTTAGCGCATTCTTATCGACTTTGTATCCTTGATTCAATTTCCTTAGTATGGTGAAAGGTTTAATGGTAGGTTCTGATCCTGGAGTAGATACTTCAGTTGTGCTTACATTTCCTTATTATTTTCTAACCCGTTTGGTGCATTTTTTGCAAGTTTCTGACGAAGATTCTATGCATCGCGATATTTGAAGACTATTTTGCATTGTATAGTTTTGTATATTATGCAGAGCTATCACATGGTGATTCGGATGCATGTGATTTATTTTCACATGGATGCTTCGACGCTTATCTTTTACATCTGATTTTCCGATTATTTCTCTTTGGTTGATGCAAAGCTTGCATGAAGTTTTTCGGGTTTCTCTACTTTGCTTGCCTTGATACAAACTTTTGTTTGTTGGGTATTTCTTCTTGTTTATCTCATTTCAGCACTCTACTGTCTTCCAGATAGCATGATAAGTAGGAAATAAAGAGTGTGCGCTCGAAGTCGCTGTTTAAAGACCTGTAGCAGGCATTCCGCACTTCATTTACTATATGTGTTGTGCTTGTGTTTGTTTACTTTCTTGTTGACCGATGAGTAACTCAATTTAGAAATTTAGATCACGACTTTGCTCTCAGTGCATCCTACCTATAGGATTTCATCTCTTTCCTTTATTTCTTGTTGATCGATGAGTCACTCAATTTAGAAATTGAGATCACGACTTCGCTCTCATTGCATGCTCCCTGTAGGATAGTTTTGTTAGATTTTCTTTGGTATGCTATCCTAGGTAGGATCTCTCTAGTTGTGCTCTCTTGAACTAGATCTCTTGAGCTTATTGGCTTGCTTGCTTGATTTTGTCTTTGTGTGCATGTTTTGAGATGATATACTCTCGGCATGTTCCCTTAGGAGCTCTCGATTCAACTATAGATGGTGATTCGAGATAGACATAGTTTTAGGTGATAGACCCTTGCTATGCTCCTTTAGGACTTCTTGATTCATCTATAGATGATGAGTTGATATAGACATTAGGATTGTTATCCAAGCATGTCAATCTTAGGGTAGAGATTTCCCTTCAAAACTCAACCATAGGACCACCATTGTATGATAACATTAGGGATAGATTTAGGTTAGTCTCCCTTAGATGTTTTCTTTTCTTTTGCATCCTTGCATTTAAAACAAAAAACTTCTCTTTCTTGGAAAATTATTAAAACATCTAACAATGTCCAAATCCTTCTTTAAGGTAAAAGCTATCAACCAATGCAAACTCTTTTGCACCTTCAGGCTTTTCTTTCAAACCTTTTAGAAAGAACATGTTAACTCACTTCTGTGCTGACGCGTAAGTCTCCAAAGGTCGAGTTGCGGCAGAAGGAGAAATTAATAATGTTAATTAAAAAAATACAAACCAACAAAAACTTTTGAAGCCGAACTACGGCTGCTCTGATTCCTTAAAAGGGATACGTAGGCATTGGGGTCTGGCCCGAGCGAGCATAACTTTTATTTTCCCTACATTCTTTTCTCCTTTCTTTTGCATGCATTCCCTGTACAACTTATATTTAGATTCTTACACACCCATAATATAAATAACAAGAGTGGATATCATAGAGTACTACGGGCGTGTGGGGTGCTAATACCTTCCCCTCGCGTAACAGACTTCCTTACCCGATCTCTCGGTCGTTTGATCATGATTTCACCCTTCTCAGGTTTACTAGATGTTTTCTTTTCCCTTCATTTAGAGTAAAAAACATTCGATGGAGACTTCATTGATTTCATTATCAGTTGATTGTTCAGTTGGTTGTTTCAACTGGCGACTTCACTAGGGACAAATTGACCTATTGCTGGTCCATCCCGGAGTCGATCCTAGCTCTTGTTTTCTTTTAATTGGGTGTTTATTTTTATGCTTTATAGCTCGTTCTTTTTGTACATGTTTATCTGAGCATATGTTTGCATTGCATCTTTATTGTTTTCCATATACTGCTACTGTATTGGTTTCCGTGTTTCTTTGTTGGATGGGTGTTACAAGAGGTCAAAGGCCCAATACCCAGGCCAAGTGAAACCACTGGAATACTAGGAATAGAGTGGAACACGACAGATAGGGGATGTAGATTACCATAGACGGTTGTGTCGTCCATTCTCAGATGAGGTTTTAATGAGGTGTTATCATTATCACGTAGGTGTACGATGATAGTACTCTTAAGCAAACCCGTGATTTTGAGTTACCCGACCTTACCTTGACTTAGTTTCACCTATGAGTGGGGCGGGAATTATTCTTACAGGTACAGATGGTGACCATGTTCTGATGGTGATTGTATTGTTCTATTGGTGACTATGGTTATTTGATTATGTTTCGGACCTTTGATCCTGATATATTCAACTTGTTCAGAGATTATACAACGATTATTCATGGTACTTGGTTCCATTGTGTTCTGAAATTGGTACAAAACCTTTGATCCTGTGATATCCGGATTACTCAACAGATTTATACAGCAGTTACCCAGAGGATTGTGCAGTTGTTATGCTAAAATTTTGAACTTATGTCATTGCACCTTGCATCATAACATGTTTATTTTACACAAAAAAAGGAAATGTGAAATATTGTATGCATAAAAAAGAAAATGATTGAACATGGAATTGCATTCACTCATTCACCTCATGCATCTTCATGCATCCATAGAAGGTACTCAAAAGGTACTCAGAACGAGGAATCCTTATTCGGAATCAGTATTTTCTTTTCAGAACTTCCAATCTTGACTTCTCGCCGCTACGTGATCAGATTCAGGTTATAAAACAACTTTGTGGGGAATTGGATGAGATAATGAGATGAAAAGAATCAGATGGGGCTGTTTATTGGGGATATGCAAGCAATGGCCTGTAGTCAAAAATCCCCAATGGGAAAATTAGCCAGTTGAAGACTTAGTTGAGTCGGGTATGGAAGTTTTGAAGATAGCGTCGGCAAAGAAAAGTGATCTGATATACGTAGTTGCAACAGGAGCTGCCATTCATCCCCAACCTATGGGACATTTTTTCAAATCATGAGATACTTTGTGGGTCTCACCCAGAGCTTCGTGTTCTCGGATTTTCTTGCTAGCAGCTAGTTTTTGGTCTCCAAGTGAGCTGATGGGGTAAAACTTACCAGCAGAGACAGAAAAAGCTTGAGAAGCAGGTTGATACAATCTCAATGCCTTGTATCTAGTTACTTCTTCATGTGTTGGAAGCTCAGTTGATTAAGCTTCGTGCTTTGGGTCATCCTCCAACAAATTTCTCCCTTAATTTCGATGCAAATGCGAGACGTGTCTCCCATTCTGGGGAACTTGGTTAGGATATTGAATACTGCAAGGGGTTGAAGTATGAAGTTTGGTACTTGTTTGGCTTCTTTTCCAAGGTTCAGTCCATGTTTAGAAAACCATTTCAGGCTCTTTTTCCTCAGCCGAATGCTTCTTATGTGTAAGTAGAAGATGGGGTGATGCTTCTGTGATGAAGAAGTATAAGATATCGAGTTCTTGGACATCTGCTGTTGTATAAAGGAAAAATACCTCAAAGGTTGAATGCTACATTTAGAGTTTAGTTTCTTCTGTGTAGTAGAAGATTCTTTGTTACAGTTTCTGAATTTTGTTTCTGTTTAGTAGAAGACGGAGACTCTTTTGTGAAGTAGGAGATTCTTCGTAATTTGGTTGCTAAAACTTCTCTCTTGTGAATTAAGAGATGAATTTTACTTTCTTCTGTGTAGTAGAAGACGAAGACTCTTTTGTGAAGTAGGAGATTCTCCGTAATTCGGTTGCTAAAACTTCTCTCTTGTGAAGTAGGAGATGAAGTTTACTTTCTTCTGTTTAGTAGAAGATCCTTTGGTATGATTGTTGGATGTCACTTATATGTAATAGAAGACGACGATTCTTTTGTGTAGTAAGAGACGCTCTGGAATTCAGCGGCTGGATTTCTCTTCTGTGTACTAGAAGATGGTTGGCATTTCTTCTCTATGGTAGAAGATACTTTGTGATGCAATTTATGCAAGTTCGCTTGATAAAGCATTCATCACATATGTAGAAGGAATTCGATGTGATTACCATACCGGGGCACTTGGCCATTCAACTGAAGGTTGTAAACCATTCAAAGATATGGTGCAAGACTTGCTTGATGCACATGCTATCAATTTCAGTCCAGCCAGTCAGATTTGAAGTCTCCCTTGACTCAGTGAATATCAAGACTACCAAGTGCATATTCTGAAGCAATAAGTCCATACAGAGACTAGTCTCCTCAACAGGGAAATTTCAAATCACATTTTCATTCTCATGTGTAATCTTCCTTGTTTTGGTTCAGTACTTTCTTGCATGCAAAATTTTCTTATTCCTGAATACTAACCATAATGCATTGAATATGTTTGTCTCGAATTAATCCATTTGTATTCACTCATTAATGTTTTTCTTTGCTTTTTGATACTTAACTCTTGTTAAATAAAGCAAAAACCTCTGGAGGGAGGATGATGAGTAATATACCAAAAATTTCAAACGATGTGCTTTTGAATGAAAAA